TACTTTAACAGCTGGTATATGCCCACACTGCTGATAAAGATAGAACTATATTATCCCACAGGAAATTGTTGAAATAAATATGATGTCATTTAAAAGTATTGGGGCTTACCTGTATTGTTTAAAAAATATCAAATAAAAACTAGTTTGACTAAATAAAGAATACCAACCAAATGACCATACTCCACGTACTCACAAGCTAATCTCCCATCCTTAAGCCAGCTCAGTGTTTGGGTCTTTTAGCTAAAGTATTCCCATGTCCACACTACATCGCCACAAACTCCTCCACAGTCCGTAAACTAAAGATGGTCAAACCTGTTAAGAAAAACATGTACACAACAAAACACGCAAAACATTTGAGGGGAACAACTATTATGTCTATTACAATTAAACGTATCTGATTCATTCAGGTGTTTTTTCTTTGGTGCCATGTGATGGGGGGAACTTATGTGTTATTCTGTGGGATGCACCAACATGTCAGTTTCTTCAACTCTTTGGAGAGGTTCACAATTTAACATTTTCACAAGAGTACAAAACACCTTTTGAAGACGTCCCTACTCCATCCACTACGCATCAAACAGAAAAGTAAGACAGATTGGCCCAAAAGTGAGAGAAACATCCAACATTTGGGTAAACTGTAAAGTCCACAATTTGGAGCGCCTTCAACACAATCAGTTTCTTGAAAGTGTATGTATTCAAAACTGTACCCCCCATAAGCAAGTCGCCTCAGGACTCCTGTATGCATACCTGCAAACTCACAAGAGATGAAAAAGGCGACACCTTTTCTTTTCCATTATTCATTCCCCATACACAGATTTTGCCTTCCAGAAAACTTAGTTGGGTTCTTTCTCACCAACATATTTCTCCTTCAAGGAATTCTTCATCATTATCCTGTGAAGGACTTGTGAACTGTCCAGCGTGTCCCCCGCCTCTAAGTGATTTTGACACATGGGCACCGGTGACCCCCGCGACCCAGAAAGGAAGAAGCGGGTAAAGATAATAGATGGATGGTATTCTCTATAACACCATCAGCTGGACTTTTCAAATCTTTTGACGAAATCTTGGTGCATGTGGCAGACAGCTACATTGTTCAAACGTGGACACAGCACTAAGCTAGCAGCACACAATATAGATGCTAGACGTAGTGCTTCGATTCTCTCAAACATCCTAACCCCACCTCTCCATATCAACAACTGTCGGCACTTATGCGCTAAGCTAGCGCTAAAGTCCAGTCAATGTGAACTTATGCCATGTAGCACGCCTCTCTTTCAGTCCCCGTGACCCGGAAAGGAAGAGGGTCAATATGATGGATGCAGGAAAATGTGAATCATGTGAGCTATACGAGGTGTATTTATGAATTAAAATGAAATATAAATAAAAAACACCATCCTCGAGTTAGTTTGAACATTTGTGAAAATGTTGAAAATTGTGAACCATTCCTTACACACAGTCTTATTTTTGTTATCTTCTGATACAAGTAACTAGATAGACTGAGTGACAACAAAAAAGTGCCAAGTGATGGCTTCTGAAACTTAAAATCATCAAAATTAGGCCTCGGAAGATGTCCAACTAGGCCTCAAGTGTTAAGGCCTCAGGATCCGTTCTGCTGGACAAAACATCTGGAGAGCGTTTCACAACCCAGCAATATTTTCCAGAAAGCAAACTGCCCCAAAAATATACGAGTATCTTAAAAAATGCACTTAAACTGGAAGAAACAAAAAGGGTAATGTCTTAATTTAATATTACTTACTGTCGTTTTCAGTCTCTTACCACAGAGCTTTGACAGAAGCTGCCACGGTTTGTGAATGTCAGAAGACATCCTGAGACGCTTCCACTGAAGCATCAACAGGATTGAGTTTGTTGAGCCAGAGCAGTCAGGAGAATCAAAGTTAACGTGAAGTTAGGAAAGAAGCAGTTGAAACAAACCTTTGTTGAAGACAAAATTAATCATTCATCATGGATGCTGCCTATCATGGTGCACCAAGATTCAGAACTGGCTTTAACTACCGTACCCACCACTGCACCCAGTATCCACTGGTTAACTGGTCACCATTAACTTCACTCAGACTCTCTCACTGGTACATTTTCATCTTTAAGTCACTTCTTGGTCTGCTGCCTTCATACATCTCCTCCTACATGTCTCTGTGTGAGTGCAGCTACAGCGTGCGCTCTCAGGACATCATTACCTGCAGTGTTCCCTCAGTGAGGACTGAACTAGACAAAAGGACCTTGACAGGGATTCAGATCTGCCATGTCAATGCTGATGTACTTAAAACAAAAGCATTGGACAGAGTCCAAAAGGGCGACGACCTCAAGAAATGTTTCAATCAGCAGACATTTTGTTGATCTGAAGAGACAGCAGGAGTTAAAATAAAAAATCTACTGATCAGATGTTGCTCTAAAAAAACTCAAAGCCAAAAAAAAAAAAAAAAAAAAAAGGAATTTAAAGGCAGCTGACATCACAGTCCAACTGCACAAAGACACAAATCTTTTAACTGTACATAATGAACTGTACTGAGTTTTTAATGATGTTCTTTCAGCCAGACTCTGGTCACTGTGCAGTTTTACTGCTGATGAATCTAACTGCTGCCGTCGACACAGTGGACCATCAGATCCTCGTGTCTCGTCTGGAGAACCGAGTGGCATTCAAGGCCCTGCTCTACAGTGCTTTAGATCCCATTTAACAAAGAGAAGCATTTGTGTGCATGTTAGATCTGTTGAGTCCTCTGTACGGCCTCTCACATGTGGAGTACCTCAGGGATCAATACTTGGCCTCCTTCCGTTTTCCTTTTATTTGCTCCCTCTGGGAAATATTTTTATGCTGATGACAGCCAAATTTATGTTCCATTGAAACAAGATAAACAGCACTCCGTGAACCAACTCCTGGTATGTATGGAAGAAGTCAGAGTAAGGATGTTACAGAATTTGTTTACATTTTAATGAGGAAAAGACCGAGGTCTTGTTGTTTAAGTCCAGTGACGGTTCCAAAGTCCATGCTGATCTGGGTCCTTTAACACAACATGTGACTGAGACGGCAACTAACCTGGGTGTGAGACTGAACAATGATTTTAAACTAGATGCACAGATTAAATCAGTGATCATGTCCTGCTTTTATCACTTACAACAACTGGCCATGGTGAAACCATATCTCTCATGACATCGTTTTGAATTTTTAACCCATGCTTTCTTTATTACTCCTCTAGACCACTGTAATGCACTTTAAGTCAGTCTGGGCCAGTCATCACTGACTCGACTAGCTGGTTCAGAATGCTACTGCTCACCTTTTAACTGGTACCAGAAAATGAGCAAATCACCCGTTTTTGAATCATTACATTGGCTCCCAGTTCATTTTCCGGATTAATTTTAAGGTTCTTGTTTCCAAATGTCTTGATGGTTTCACAGTATCTGTCCGGCCTGCTCCAACTGTACGTCCCCCCACGGTCTCTTAGGTCAGCAGAGCAGTAGCAGTTGGTCGTTCCAAAGTCTAATAGGAGGCTTAGAGGTGACTGAGCGTTTTCAGCCGCGGCCCCTAAACTGTGGAATGAGTTACAGTTGCACTTCAGACAAGCTGACTCAATTCTTTAAACCTTCTCTGAAAACTTTTTTCTCCTCTTTGGCTTTTAACTCTGCTTGAAATGTTGGTTTTAACTTATTTGTTTTACTGTTTTATGATTTTAACAGTTCATTACTGTTAGGGTTTCCATTGATTTTTATAGTTTTTGTTAAGTTTTGCTTGTATGTGAGTGTACAGCAATTTGCTGCAAACTGTGTTGTTTTTAAAATGCTTCATGAATAAAGTTGTATTGTATAGTTATGTAAACACATATACAGGGTTCTACATTAATTTGGTTAGTTGTCTTGAAGCACAACCTCAAAATAAAGAATGTAAAACCCTGGGGGTGGGAGGTAAAATCTAGGTGCATTGCAGAAACAGAACATTCTAAATTATTTTTTCCTAATATGAAAAATACTTGTTTTGTGTTGTCCCTTGAAGAGTCAAAGTGGTTAAGGCGCGGTGCCGTTTGTAGCAGAAGCAAAATCTGAATTGATTAATTCCTATGGAAATTTCCAGTGATGAACATAATGCTAATCGAGTTAGCGCAGATGCCAAGTCAATGTTAAAATGCCATAGAAAAGAATTTAGTAATAAGATAATTTTATTTTAGTGTTCTACACGGCCTTACAACCTAGCTGTTTTTTTTTGTTGCTACTTTTCCTTTTAATTATTGTTAATTACCATTTTATTTTCACTTGTAAAAAATAATGGATTTGTATGAATTGTTGTCTTTGTTGTCACCACTTGTTAAAATCAGGTCTCTCTTGTAAAAGAGTCCCCGAGGCTCAATGGGATTAACCCGTAGAAATAAAGGTTGAATGGATAATTGTTGGTCAGAAGCCTCTGACTAATAAAGTTTTAGGTTTGTGTCATTGTGCATGTAATAAAAGGAGCTGAGATTTATTCATATGTGTTTCTGTAAAATAAACTATAGTCTTAAGTTATAGATAACAGAAATACATCAAATATAGTTTTAATGATCACATCGCAGCCGTCTGGACAGAATTATGAGGCGCCTAAAGACCCCCCCCCCCCCCCCATAAAGACAGTACAGGACGTAACTGTAAACGATTAAACGTTTAAAATATGAAGGCACGCTTCCAGCCAAGCACAAAATCTATTTTGATTTTTCCTTACATATACAGGCTCCTTGTACTGTAACCAGATGTGTAGGCCACGCCCATTTGTGTACATTTTGTTAGGCTGCAAATTTAGCAAAACCTACTTTTGAATTCTCAAATGTTTTAAGGTCGTTTGCCAAGAAACTTACGTTTAATCTACAAACCAAGAGGAATAAAGGTTGACCAGGATGAGTATTTTTAAATTATACCTGCACAAATACTTAGCAAGCAATACTTGGACCACATCCAAACAAACAAAACTTATAAAGATTAAACTTATTTCTGCTGTTGGGGGAGTCAGTCCTTAGTTCCTCCAACGTTAGGCCTCAGAGAGAATTATAACAAAATGACTTAAGATTTTTAGAGCTTCACTGACCCGTTTAGTTTGAGCTGTGGTTTGTAGATTGTGTTGCACATGTTGCTGAAGTTGAGAACCGATTCAAACTGCACTCAAAGACTCGATTTGTTCTGTGAGACAACGGCCCGTCGTGGGATCGGAGTGGATTGTGAACGGTTGGTTAAACGTAAGGAATAAATGTTAAAAGTTTGTTCAGATGGAACCAGTGTGCCTTTATTTTATTCATGCTTCAGCTCCAAAAACGTATGGCACAAAACACAGCCATAAAGGATGAGAAAGTTACAGTTTTCACTTCACGACGATTCACAGAGCATAATACATCTAGAAACAGAAAGGATACATGGTCAGAAAAGAACTACTGGATCACAACTTGGTGACCTCGGCCTACGCTAATGACAATACTAAATAAAATGAAAAAAATTTGACTCAATTATAAAACCAGTCAACTGAGTGACTAAAATGCTGGAACAGTTTCAACTTAAATACAAGTAGTAAGACTCAATGTTTGTCTTGAGTATCTACACAGATGTGCTGCCAGAAGAATCAAGGAGCAGCTTTTAAAAACGGGGCTTCTTTAGGGGACCTTCGAACTCCTCGCGGACCCTGCTAAACCCAGAGGTACCTGCAACCATCCCCCTAGAACCACTCTGGCTGAAGCGCTCGTTGCGCTGTTGGTGGTCAGTTTACAGGGAGGAGAGATGGTCGGGGTGAGGAATAAGGTATGGTTTGGGGGGGGGGGGGATCAGTGCACGAGCAGCGCACAGTTCATGTCCATGTAGAGGTGGTGTGTAAACATGTAGCAATAGAGGTGGTTTTTATATCGTGAGCAGGTTTACAAAGCAACCAGCAGGAGGCACATCCGAAGAAAGCGTTCGATCCGTTAGAAGGTCCACAGGTGCCACAGGTTACATACGGAAAAGGAAGAGAGGGTAATGTTTTTGTTAGTCTGCGCCCATCTATTATGGTCTGTTCTCCAGTACATATCAAGACTAGCTTACAGCCCAACAGCTCCTCAGGTCAGCATGCATTCATGCAGACCAGAGTCACCGCTGCTGCGGCAATAAAAACACCATGTGGAAGCAATTACTGAATTAATACATATCATTGTACATATTATGAAGAATGTCGTTTGTTTTTATTTCAAGCTAATGTGTTTTAACTTTCATTAATGTCAAATATTTAATCAGGTGCTGCATGTCTTTCTCAAACAGGAATGTTGAGTGTAAAATAATCAGCTGTCCAAGTAATGGTATTGTAGAAATAAACTATTCATACAAAACATAAAAGGGCCAACGTTGACATTTGTAGGATAAATATATCTTGTGCAAATTATCTTGAAACAAAATGACACTTAGCAAAATTAAAGGTACTCATTGAAAAACCATGAAGACCGTTCAGAACACGAGGAACACACAGAAACAAAATCTGAATGTGTTTTCCAGATCAATGGTTAAAACGTTCTTATAATAGAACTTTGTGAGAAGTCAACTACTGAATGTGTTTTACTTAGAACAGCCCAAGTGGCTGAAATACGGTCGCCAGCGGTGACGTTCACAGAAGAGCCACTTGGGATTGAGAAAGTCAAAGACTTCAGTGTGTTGGTGCATATTTACGCTCAGATTTGATGAATAAAATAAGCAAATCAAAGTGATTTGTGAGGACATGCCATTCAGAAATGCATATCAACGTAGCTAAGGGTGACATTTATTGTTTGGTTTCATATTTTGCAATGAGTACCTTTAAATTGACTTGCTAATTAAAAAATATATATAAATAGTTTTCTCTTCATTAAATGCCATTTGAAGGCTAAACCAACACAAGAAAAGATTCATTTAAACCAAAGAACATTTGAAAAAATGTTACTAGTTTGCAGTATGACATGAATCTCAACTAAAATTAAGCACAGTACAAACTGGAAAACAATCCATTTGGTGGTAATTATTAAATCTCAGAGTAAATTTACTCTGTATGTTGCTCAAACTTTAGAGATGCACCGATTCATTCTTAGTGAAAGTAAATTTAAAAAACCTTTGTAATCCATTTATAGATTGTAACAACCAAATCTCATGAAGTCCAAGTTATCAAGCAATAACTCAAGTTATTAAAAATATATATTTATGCCTCAGACAGAATGTTAGGTGATAAACACAAACTGGGTTGTGTTCACAAAAACCTCTCCCAACTTGAACCTTTAAACCAGTGGTTCCCAAACCAAAAGCACCTTATCACATATATATATATGTATTAAATATATATTTATCATTAATGGCTCATTTTTCTAGCAGTTATGGCCAAGCATACTATAAGGAAAGAAAGCCGGAACAGTTGCATAACAGACATGCACATGATGGCTGAAATGGTATATGAACTAAATTAAATACTAAATTGGTTTCCAAGTAGTCACATGAGGGAGAAGTGTGTAGGGGATGCATTAAGATGTTTGAAATGCATCAATAATTCACAATAACTGAATTGTAATGGAATTAAGGAGATGCCTGAATATTATCACCCTTTACTTTACTAAACTTTATGTTTTTTAGATCTTCAAGACCACTCCACTTGTTTTACAGCTGAGCGTCAAGTCCCAGCCCATTTGGGAACCACTGCTTTTAAATGGCCCAGTTCCAAACCCCCATGTGCATCATACCAAAACTAAGGCCTCGACTAGTTACATACCCGCCCCACCCACATTTTACTGACACTTGTTTTTATTCCATCCAAAAAAGCACGTACAAACAAAAACACTGAAACAACCCTGCCTGAGCGCCGGGTGCACGGCAGGTAACGACGCTGACATGGACACATCCGGTACTTTAGTTTTCTTGTTTGTGCTTCTTCAAACAGCCTTTTAAATGAGGCGTTCTGTCTAGAAATGTTTTCACCCACAGAAACACAGCACTTTCACAAACACTTGAAACCAGGACTCCCAGCCATTCTTACGATTTGAGTGCAATTTCTGAGTGGATCAAGAAACGTGCAGGGCTGAAGTTAACCCGCCTCTTTTGCCACCAAGCGAGGCAGTAGCAGAGCTGAAAGCAGCTCAGCGATGTGACATACGGTGTGCGCAACCACCCAGCTGCAAGACTTTAAGCCTAAATACAAGCAAGAGGTTCATGACCAAGATTGATACGAACGCACAGCAACTTTTAATTAAAAGAGGAAACCACAAACATAATTGCTGAAATTTATCATGCTTAGAAAATGAGGGAGGAATTGGTCACACATTTAGGTGTGGTGTTACATGTCAACACATTCAAGTTCCGCCCCACGCTTCGCTTTATATCGAAAAGGGCTCGTCCTTGTGGGATGTGGCCAAATCACTTAGTCAGAAAGGTCAGAAAGAACAAAGTGAATCTGTCTTTTCAACCATATTGCAGAACCATTTTGAGAAAAGGACTACAGAAAATTCCCCAAAAGGCTGCAGTAACTCTGCCAGACCTTTAAGTGGCGCTGTAACGCTGCCAGAAACAGAGAGCAAGACAAGAAGCGGTCTATGAGGAGCAGAGTGTAAACACGAACACTCATCTCAATCTTCTACCACTTATCCGTAGTTGGGTTGAGATTCCTCCCCGTTTCCAGCAACACGCTCCAGCTCCTTTTGGGGGACTTCAAGGTGTTTAAGCTAGAGAGGATCCAGAACCCCTCCAGAGAGTTCTGGGTTCATCTTGAAGTCTCTTCCCAATGGAACATGCCTGAAACCTAAATAAAGGAGGCATCCAAGGGGAAAATCTTGCCTGCAAAAGGAAAACCGGGAAAGCTCTGTACAGCCTGGGCTGTCTGAACAGGAAGCTCGGCTCCATGTTGTAGAGAAACCATTAGCTAGCCAGGTACCCTTAGACAGCACGAACAACAGAGACTAGCTCCCATTAGCGGTCCTCCAGCAGACCCCAAGCAGCCGGGACCCCAGGACGGCTGGGTGACGGTCCAGAGAAAGCACAGTGCCATGGCTATGCCCCCAGTTCACCACTGAACCGTTCACGTTTCTAATCAATTTTCCTCGCTCAGTGACACACCCACTGAGAAGCAGACCCTGGTTATTGGAAGCTCCATAGTCTGAAACGGGGATTTAGGGGCTCCAGCGGCCAGAGTCAAATGCATTACGGGGGCCAGAGCAGGAGACAAAGAATCTTATCTGAAGCTGCTGACACATATCGATCTTTATCTATACATCTATATAGATATACATATACATATATATACATATACTGCAAAGCAAAATGTCAAATTATTTTGTCAAATATATATTTTTTGTTCCATCACAAAATGTATCGTTATCGTCAGAATGCTCTGAAATATCACAATATTATTTTTGAGCCATATCACCCAGCCCTAGTACCTCACATGACGGGCAGCAGGACAGGAGGGTCTCTGGCTGTGCCAAAACCTGGTGGCATAACTACAATGATTTCTTACATCTTAAATGAATGCATTATTGACATAACCCTTTGAAGTAACGGCACGTACACAGACAGTTTTCAAAGGGGGCAGCTGCCTTGGGGCTGGTAAGTCACAGGTTTGATTCTCCACCACGCCCATGTGTTAGCAGCTTCCTGCTCTACTCGGGTGCATCTCATGTGCAATGAGCTAAATGCAGCACAAATGCAGCCATGGCTTGGGAACAAAGAATGATGACGATACAAAGCACTTTCATGTTGTGCTTAGGGTCTAAACTGAAACAACGCCGGTGTTTGAAAACCTTTTCACTCTGGACGCAGATTTCCAAAAAGGAAACAGTTTGGGGGCTCATCCAGTGCTGTTTCATGCATTCTATATTCACCAAATGCCATTACTGTGAGAACTTATCACATTTAATCCAAGGTTTAATAATATTAAAAATAAACAGCAGTTAAAAATTTAATAAGAATAAACCTCTCAAATAAATGTTTTAGCACAACGGTACGCAACAGGTTTTTCAAAAAAATTTAAATATGGAGGAAAGTTACGCACACCCGCCCCGTGTGGAATCGGTGCATCTCTGAAGTTATTTTACTGAAATATGATTTTAACTAAAAACTGCAAAGTTGTAACTACAGAACCTGAGAGATCAATACCGCCAGCGAACTTACAAGTGAAAATAATGATTGTGTTTCACTTGATTGAAAAAAGAAAATTACCAAACAGTGTTTAAAAACTAAGGAAAGATGAGGAGCCCTGTGTGTGCACATGCTTCATGTGCCGTTGTGATTATTTTTCTGTGCCATAAAAGTTGTTCTAGATCTAATTACCTAAAAATACTGAAATCTAAATCGACAAGACTCAAGAGAGCAGATGTCTAATTCAGTCCAGCACACATCTGTAAACGATCACCATGCTGTGCTTGTGCCCATCAGATGTTACTAATGCATTTACTGTTGTTAAATTTAGGGTTCATACAATCACCCTGCACTAAAACCTCAAATGTTCAGTTACAGTGACGATAATGTTGTTGGAGCAAAGTACAGCCCTACTTCAGGTCTCCGACTCATCACTCCCATCCAGAGATCCATGCGTTTGTGCCTCGTGTAAACAAACAACACATTAAAATGGAAAAATAAGATGAATCATATTAGAGAAAAAGGTAAATGCTGATATTTAAATCTACCCTCCGGCCAGAAAAGTGCCTGTCCAGCTCACAACAGACAGGGCTTGCACCGTATTCTACGACACAGAGGAAGTATTAGCGTGAGCAGAGAAGCAGGTTTGTCTACAGCGCTCTGATGGTTTAGTGCAGGATGACCGTGTTGTACTTTGATTATTAGTTAACTCAGAGGGCATGGCTTGAATTAGAAATAAATCAGGTGGGCAGCAGATCTAAAACTTTCAACGAGCAACAAGCCTTCCCAAGAGAATCACTGGTGTTCTCCCATCGTGCTGTGGGCCAGCTGGCCTCAACGACTACAAGCAGCTGGGAGTGTCTCTGACAAAAACAAAATATGGATCTTCCCAAAATGGGATACGTTACCATTTCGTTGCTAATCAGGCTTCCAGGTGAAGATCCCAACACCGTCTGACCCTCAAAGCTTAGCCCAGGCATTGAGAACTGCTGGGTGGCTCCTCCAAAGGCCATATCTGATTTAAACAAAAATAAAATTACATTACACCTGCTAAAAGGTTGAGCAGTCCATTAAATAGCACGTCGCCCGCCACCTCTCAGGTTTCAGACCAAGTTCATCTTATGAAGAGAAATGATGGCAGAGTTGTTAGTTTTATTCAAATTTCAGCTCCTTACCGGAAAAAAAAGAAATCATGGATGAGATGAGCGTCCCACCATGGCAACTTCACTAAGGGAAACACTGTTATGATCTAAACTGGTGTAAGTGTGGTTTCCCATCCAAGTACTAACCAGGCCCGACCCTGCTTAGCTTCCAAGATTAGACGAGGTCAGGCGTGTTCAGGGTGGTTTGGCCGTAAACGAGGAGCTCCGTCACAAATAGGACTTTTAAAGTTTTTCCAAGAAGGAAACCCACTGCATGCTATTCTGCACCTTTACTCTGTTTTAGCTCAAATTTAGTGTCAGTAAGAAAACTTAACTTACAGCAAAGGACAAACAGAACGCATGAATTCAAACAGCAACAAAGAAAAACAAAATTTAAGATGTATCTTAAGACCTAAAAACAGAAAATCTGGACAAATTCAGGACATTATTTGGGGACTAAAGGTAAAATGTTTACATTTTAGACTTTTTAAGGCCCTGTACAAACTCTGATGTTTTCTTTATTACTGTGATATTTAAAACTTAGTGTCTGTGACTTTTCCCTTGTTGTCCAAGTTCAACTAATCAGCTGACTCACATGTTTATCTGGTCATTTCCACATTATCGTTCTGCTACACAGACATTTTCCCTGAATAAGTTATATTGAAATAATGTATTTTACCATCTGGAATTACTCAAAGTCCAACACCCACCATTCTAGTCCCAAGTGCCCTTAACAGGTCTAGGGCTGGGCGATCTCTCAATATTTTTTAAAATATCGATTTAATTTCATTAACGATATAAATTGGCATTATTTCAATATAAACACTATAGTTATACTTGAAAACCCGCCGGCACGTAGCAGCCACAGAATGGAGAAAGAGAAATTTGCAGAATTGGTGAGCAGGAAAAAAATGGCTATGTTCGGATTTGTCAGACGTGCAGCAGAAAAATGTGAGACAGATGCACATCTGAGCCGTGCGCGGTTTGTACCGACAGCTTTCGAGTGGCGGGGGTGCGTTCAGCGTGAGGGTTCAGCATGAAGGGAGAGGCTGCCTTTAGCTTTTTAGCTAGCGCGCCTGCATTGCGAGCTGCCAGTTAAGCGTTACGTCGGTGCCGACAGGTGGTTGGGGGTGGAGTTCTGTTGACGGGGCGCCCCGCTTGTATAATGGTAGAGGAAACGCTGTGATAAGTAGCTGTTTTATGAATGTGGCTCTAACTCGGCTCACTGTAAGACTGGACAATCTGTGGGCGTTTTTCTGCGGAGCCAACTTCACGCAGCCCATTGCCGCCTCCATCACTGAATACAAGCAGCCCCCCACTGCTGCAGTTCACACACGCTTAAAAGTGAAGGTGGTGCAGCTGGGGAGGATAATTATTAAATATATGTATAAATTAATAAATAAATAAGTCTAAACACAAAACTTTAATACATGTAAATAGTTTATTTTTAAATATTTATTTTGTAGTTACAGCTGTTAATTAATGTGCCTGTGTGACAAAGCTTTGACTCAGAAATATAATTTTGTTATTATTTTATGGAAAGAAAAAATATTGATATATTGTATATCGTGATTTATCTTAATCTAGAGATATTCATTTTGATCCATATGGCCCAGCCCTAATAATCACTGTAGTAGAATAAGAGTGTTATGTTATTTTCATTTAGGTCAGACGTGTAAACAAACAAACAAACAAAAAATATATGACCACCACCCAGTTAAGGAAACACCCGAGCGCACGGCCAATGACAGCTGAAGGCTGACGACGTCAAGAAAGGAACGTGCCACAGGAGGGGCATTTCTGATGAAGACGCATGCGAGTGAGGACGATTTAAGATATTTGCCTTGATTTAGAAGATATCTTCAATTTATCTGCAAGTGATGAACCAAGTAGAACTATTCGGAGTGAAGTTATTGCTCCGTACATGCACGAACGAGCCACCACGAAGGCAAGACGATGCAGCTACACCTGAAGACTCATCAGTCCTGGACGGACCGACCAGCTTGAAAACACTAGTGTATCCATCTAATCCATGCTAGCATTTACAATAAAATTTAAATATTTACAATAAAATTAAAAAATGTGGGACATAATGTATGCCAACTCCCTCCGTGTCTGCATTTCCAAAGAACTGCGCAGGACACGATTGAATATTTTGTGCCTGCGATGAGTAGCCTGGCCAGAAATGATGATTGGTGTGTAAAATAAATCCGGCCGTTTCAAAAAATACCAGATTGAAAATGCACAGAAATTCCTTTTAAAAATAATTTTGCATTAGTTTTCAATATTTGCCATAGAACATAGGTGTTTAATTTTTATGTCTATCATATTTTGCCAGATATGCAATATGAAAGAAAAATGGTGGGCGTTGGACTTTATTGTTCTTTTTTTAAAGATGATCCAATTCAAAGAAGAAAATCTTACCCTCCATGCCCAAAGTTCCACCGGTGTGCATTCTCAATTCCCTCTGCAAAACAAAGACAAGTTGTTATGTCATTTAACAAAATCATTACACTTTGTTTTGACTTGATGTTTGGAGTCTGGTGTTGAAATGGACTCACTTCCATGAAGTTGCCCATCATGTAGCTCTCTTCACGCTGGCGGCGTAGCTCTTCCTCCAGTTCTCTCTTTCGAAGCATCTCCTCTTCCCGTATGCGCCGTTCTTCCTCTTGCCTGTTTAATTGTTTTTAAAGTATGTCATTTTCTACTGATGTCTAACAAAACAAATTTCACTACATTACAAAAGAAGTGACAACTTTCTAACACCGATTTTAATTTTTAAGAGTTTCCACATTAGTTTTCTTAGATTTGACTTTTTGCTCACCAGTCTTTAAACCAGCCGAGCAGTGAAACATAAAACAAACCTACAGAATTGGGATGTTTGACATCCTAAAACTCTAAAAGCCAAAATTTCATTTTGAGGAATGCTAAGACACCAAATCTGCATCAGGTGCAGAATATGTGTGGGCATGCAGCAGTAACTGGTTTTTGTTTAAACGTTCGTGTACCGATTTAAACTTATATGAAATGTGAATGACATGTCAAATAAATTCAAGTACCTCAGCTGCATTTCCTTCCTCTTCTGCATCTCTTGATTGTGAATCTCCTCCATGTGCCTCAGTTCTTCTTGTCGCCTCAGCAGTTCTAAAAAAAAAAAAAAAAAAAAAAAGGGTAAATGGACTGTATCTAAAAAAGTTCAATCTGGTCCTCTGGACATTAAAAAAAACAAAACAAAGCAAATCAACAAAAAAATGTAGAAACGTTTCATCTCTCATCCGAGAGACTTCCTCAGTCTGAGGTGCTGTATTCAGCTCAGTCTCTTAAACAGCACCTTCTCAGAGTGGATCAACCAGTTTTGCTGCTGACAACCAAAACCAGCTGATCACATGCTCAAGAAGGACCCCTTCTTGACCATGTGACCAGATTTAACTTTTTTAGATTTTTCTACCTGGATTATTGAGCATGCATCAGGATAAATGGACTGTACTTATATAGCACTTTTCACTACAGTCTGTGTCTTATTTACCCATTCATACATGACTCTACTAGATCTGTACAAAGAATAATCAGAGCTTTATCATTCATACACCGATGGGACACACATCGGAGGCATTTAGGGGTTCAGTGTCTTGCCCAGGGACACTTTGGCATGTGACTGCTGGTGGAATCGAACCCCCAACTCTCGTATTGGAGGACGACTGCTCTAACCACTCAGCCACAGCCACCCAACAAAAACAATACTGTAATAATTTTTCAAGTTTTAAACAAAAAAACCTGATGAAAGTATACTCACAATGCAAATGTATGAGGAACAATGATATTCTGAAAATGCTGAAAGGATTTTAGCATCAAATGCTAGAGATGTAATTAAATAGTGTTATTAAACTTACCCTGTCGGAGCATATTAGCCTGGTGCTCGTGGTAAGCATCTTCCATTTCACTGTCCAGCTTCTCACGGGCCTCACGCATGTTCTTCTCCACCTGCTCCCTCTGCTGCTTCTCCATTTCATCCAGAGACTTCCAGCGTTTGGAATACTCAAACTCGAAAGTGCCAGGACGGGCGAAGCGAGGTGGTTGTTCACGTTCTCTATAGACACACAAGCAACATAATAGCAGTAAGCATGGGTGAACAGAACAGTTAAAACTTTGTCGTTCATGACTATACAAGCAACATGCTTACATTTGGTACTTATGGTTCTTCAGTGCCAGTTTCTCTGGAAGACCATCATCACAGTCAAACTGCTCCAGAGGCTCAACAATTACAGGACGAGGAGACCTTAAAAGGATGGGACAAAAACAGATGAGTCTAAAAGACGAGTGTTTTGTTGTCACAGCATAAGTCCTAGGTGAAAACGAGCTTACGCTGTGAGGAGGAGGACTCCTTCGTTGCAACGATCCAGGGCCTTTTTGGCAGCTATTCTGGAAGCAAACTCAACAATACCCTTGCCTGTGGAGCGCCCACGATCATCAACAACAACAATAGCCCTCTCTATCATCCCGAACTGTGAGAAAGCCTCCTCTAGGAGCTCGTTGGAAACATATGGAGACAGGTTCTTCACGGACAGAGCAGCAGAGTGTGTGGCAAATCGAACACGCAAAGGTCTGCCTCGCATTGGTGTGTCGTCCATCTCCGTCTTCGCGATATCTGCTAGTGCTCGAGATTCCTGAAAGAGAAATTAAATGTTGCTATGAGAGAGATTTTGCATCTTTATCAGACCAAACTGCACCAGGAGTAAAAAAAAACCCATTTGAAGCAGGTTGTGTCGTACCAGTCGGATGAATCCAAAGCCTTTTCCTTTGTTGATGAAGACCTCAGATGGCTCTCCATATTTTGCAAACATCCTCCTGAGAATGTCCTCGGTGATGTCGCTCGGCAGGTTTCCAACAAACAAACGGCACCGTTGAGTGTAGGCCTTCTCTCCAGGCTTCAGCAGCATGGACAGAGGAGCTGTGAAACCCTACCACCAGAAAACAGGTACGTAGTTACTCAATACGTTCTCTAAATAAGTTCTATTATGATGTACATGAATTAGAATTTAGGAAATTAAACAAACAATTGATGCACATACATACTGTGTACAGTACTATATACACACATAAGAAATTTAACAGTACTTTTTTTTTTCTGACACGCCCCACTTCCGTTTACTTGTAGAACTTGACATAAAAGGCTTGTTTCAGAAAATATTTCTGAAACAAAAGTTACTGGTAAGTTGCTTTGAGTTATCGTTTTACTTGGCTAAATAAACTGCGTTTTTCCGGCAGCCATCTTGTTTCAGAGCAACTAGACGCGTGATTTTATCTACTGCGCTTGCCGTCATGGCGCGCAGCAAAAAGACTGACGGTTATTATTACAGTAAAAACCAACCCCGCCCGCGCAAGCCTAGTAGTGTTTAATATCAAGCGTACCTTTACTTGTTTGTCGTCTGACTCTGTAGCACAGCTCATATCGGCCTGTTCTTTATTCAGGTCTGGCTGCTGGGTCTGTTGGGGGAAAGATCTCTGGCCCTGCTGGGGACCGGGCCTCTGGTTCTGCTGAGGACCGGGCCTCTGGTTCTGCTGGGGACCGGGCCTCTGGTTCTGCTG